CTCCTCCTATTCATCTCTGCACCATCATATTAACTCCTCAGTACCACAAGAGTTCTGAGCTGGTCTTTTAAGATTTATGGCAAAGCCCACGTCAAACAGATTTGTCCTTTCCTGGTGGAATCTGGATTGCAAAGGTTGAACTGCAGGACTGTTAATAGATGGATTTCTTGGTCAATATTTTGAAAACATTGTTATCACCAGATGCTTCCTCCCATTATTGTGTTAATGTATATAGAAACAAACTGCAATGGTGTTCTCCCACCAGTTATCAATCTACAACTGAGCATGTGGATTGGGACAATGCACAAACTATCCCAAATCCAATAGATCTTGACCCACCCTGTTATTTTCCTTAGATCAGATTGCCCTTAAGTTAGTTCACATGTAAATGAAGTAGAATGACTAGGGGGCAGTGCATGACCAAAACGCATTGTCCTATTGTTAGAGGCTTAATTATCAGAAGGAACTATAATAGCCTGTATTTTTAAAGGGCCTTATTATAGCAAGTACTTCTCAGATCAGAACTATTGTTTTATTTTTAGAGGCACTCTTTTAAAGGCACTGATTACTTTGAGATGAACATTGTGTTTGACTTCTTTTCCTATTCATCTGCATATTGAAGGTAACAGGATTCTGATGGAGCCATAGTAACAAAATATATTAAGAGAGGATAAGGCTAAAGGCTGCACTTTGTCAGTTTACTATATAGTGTTGGGTGAGGACTGGGAAGTTCAAAACCACTTTCAGCTGTGGAAGCTCAGTTATCCCAACCTACCTTGTATTTATTAGGGGGAAAACTGAAAGGAATGCTTACATAGGCCAAATTTCTGAATGAAAATCAGGATACAATAAAAAAAAAAAACGCCTTTTCTGCATTTCTAAAATAGTAGTGCATACCACATCTGCCTTATGTTCTCTTTTAAGAGTTTTCAAGCTTTCCTTTTCCTCTCTTTTGGATGAGAACTGTGCCATTGCACTGTACAACTGGAAAGAATAAATCCCAGACATACAGGAACACCATTACTCTGAAATATGTGTGCCCATGTAATAAGGATTATCAGAAGGGGATTTCCTTAAATATTTAGGATAATTATTCATCCACAGTGTGTAAAATGGAAAAATGCAAGATGGGAAGGATCCGAGGTTATGGGGAATTTGGTTCCGAAAGAAAGTAAACTAAAATAGTGACACTATCAACAATTCCTGGAAGCATGAGATAAGGTTTGGATTAGGAAGCAATCTGTCCAATCTTTTCCATTGGAGAGGAACTATCTTAAAGTGTACCTTCTGTACTTTCTCACCTGGTATAATGTGCTTTGAAAGCAGGAATCCCATCTGCTGAATTAAGAATTGTTTTAGGTATTAAATGATTTGCTATATTAAAAGTGTTCTACGAACAGAAGTAAAAACCAACGATAACATTAGCTTGGCTTATTTTCATTGGGACATCAGCTTTCTTAAAAATTTGTGCAAATCTGATGTTAAGAGGATTTGGCAAAGTAATATATCACTCAGGAGCTTCCTTTTACCTTTTTTTGCAAGTAAAACCAGTTTCACTGTCAATTCTTGAAAAAACACTTGGGATTTATTGATTTAAACTGCAAACAGTCGTTACAAAAGATTCTCTTAAATAAACTCACACAAAGGAAAAAGGAAAGAAAAAGCAATGTAGTGAACAGTAATGGGAAAATTACATTCAATGTGTTTTTTGTGCCAGTAATGTTTACCTTTAAAAGAGGAAACACTCCATTCTTGGAATACAGAAATGCAAAGACAAACTACATCTGGAATGTCTTTAGACAGGCACTTGAAACCAAAGGGTAATTTTTTTTCTCCTTTAAATACTTACAAAAAAAGGAAGCAAAAATCTTCCTTTTCATCGTCTCACAGCACAGCTTATGCTTATACATTCTAGAGGCCAGCAGTGAAATCCGTATTCTACTGAAGTCACTTGACAAAATTCTCCAATGACATCAGTATGGCCAGAATTTCACCCCACCTGGGAGAGGCCTTGTTGGGCAAAGGAAGGCAAAGAAGCACATGAAACTCAATTTGCAGTCTGACACAAAAAGGGTAACGATCTAAAATAAATAATCCGAACACAGTTGTTGCATTTTTTAAATTAAATTTTCATTTTTTAAAAATAAAATAACCAAAAAAGTGTAAAGTTACAAAAATGTCATTGTAGTATAATATATTAAACTGTGGGGGAGGGGGAAAAGAAAAAGACTTCACAATCTTAAGATTAATATGGAAGATCATAATTTAAACATAAAAGAATATATTCTATGAATTCATCATCCAGATAAATATGAACAAAATTAACAAAAAAGCATAGGTTTCAGCAATAAATACGTTTTGATAAGTTAAATAAGCTTTATATTGTTGTGCAGTGACAAGCAAAATTTGCTCTCCAATTTCTGAAGTTATACAAAATTAAAAACCCAGGAAAAAAATAAAATAAAAAGCTTGGCGTGAGTGCTCTATGGATAGGTCTATTGTACTCTAGAGCAAAACCATTAAAGCTATGACTACTGGAACTTTGTTTACACTGAACTTGCATGTGTGGAATGAACACCGTTAGATACCCCTCCCCTCCCCACTTTTTTTGTGTGAAGATGTCACATGTACATGCGGAGAACCTGTAGCACCAAAAGCAAGTCGCTCAATGTCCATCTGGCTTAACTCTCCATTTACCAAGTCCCACGCATGTTAGAGTGAACTGTCCATATTCTCAGCTGTTCTTCTGGCTGACCTGAGTTGATTCAGGCAACAAGCCCTTTATAAAAATGTGGAAGGGGCTGGATGTTAACAGAGGTCCACCTGCCAGGTGTCTACTGAACACAGGCAAAGGAAGGGAAGACAGAAGGGAAGAGGTTTCCGCATCTGAACTACTGCTCGTGACAGGGGTTGTTATTTCTAGATAACCCTCCTGCACATCTGGAAATGCAGAGCTCTACAGATGCTGCTGGTGCCCTCTGCAGCTGGAGAGGTAATATAGTCACAGTGAACATATTAAAAGGCACTACTACACTTGTAAACGTTATCACTTTCTTTTGTAATTTGGCACTTGCGGTTTCAGCCAGTGTCTGGACTCTAGGCAGGTGGACCACCTTGGCGTTAACATCAAACCCAAAGATGCTAAGGGAGACTTAGGACAGGAAGGGGGCTACAAGTTTAACGTTGTAATACATGTGGCAAGAGAGGCCAAAAGGCAATACCAGATTATTCATCAGAGATGGACAGTCTGCTGAAGATGGGAAGACGTCTTGAGGTGTCCAGGATAGGTGAATCCGAGCCACTGTGGCTGCTGCTAGAGCTGCTCAGATAACCTTCCTGGTCGGAGAGGGAGCCCTGTGGACTCGGAGGAGAGTCAAACATATTTGGGGACTCGGACATGGATCTAAGGAGGAAAGCAGTGGGCGAGCCCCCCGCAGGCACCTGCACCCCCATACTAGGAGCAAAGAGATTGGTCAGCTCCTGGCTGGAGAAGGTGAATGGATTGCTGGCACAGTCAGGCAGAGTAGGTGAGCCCAGGAGGTCATCACTTATGATGGGCGGAGGGGTTATCGAGGTGGGGCTGTCCAGCAGCCCGTTGGCAGCAATAGCACTTGGGAAGCCAGCAAAACTGAAACTGTGTTGGAGGCGGGGTCTTTCAGCAATCACCGGCTCTCGACCGCCACCAGCTACAGCCCGGCGCTCCTCAGCATTGTGGATGAAATGACAGCGAGGCCCGTAAGGGCAGAAGCCAATGGTATGGAAAGTGCGACAGAGCTCCGTCTTGTACTTGGGATGGCGGGTCAAACTTCGCAGCTCATGGATGCCGTGAGCAAACTGGCACTTGTCTCCGTATTTGCAGGTCCCATTCTCCTCAAACGGGCGGCAGAGCTCCGTCTTGTAGCGACTCGAGTTGACTTGCCCACCGGGCTGCTTTTGCTGAAGCAGGCGCTCTCCACCTTCGGAGAAGGAGCGGTCTCGAAAGCGGTTCTCCCTGGGCCCCAGGGTTGGGGCTGGCTCTCCCTTAAGGCCGTTTAGGAGATGGGTCTGATGGAACTTAGAATTGGGCAGGGTGACAGAATGCCTCCTGGGGAAACCCCCGCCAGCCGGAGTTCCTACCGCCTTCCTGTCCAAAAGACACCCTCCGGCAGCAGAGGGGCCGTAATTCAGCATCTTGTTATTCTGGAAGGAGGAAGTGAAAAAGCAGTCAGCAACCCAGCTTTCAGCTTCATTTGTTTATGCCCTTAAACCTGACCATTCTACTACCCTTTTTTCACAGCTGCACAACTGATTTGCCAACAGTAAAATGACTAAAAGCTCTCTTCTGTACCAGACAGGTCAAACTGTAGGAAGCACACACCACTAATCACAAGCCATGAAGTAGCAAACAACTTAAGATTTTCAATGGCTTTCCCATGGGTTCATATCTACTATATCAATGAAACACATTTTGATTTGTCCTACACAAAGGTGTATCACCATACAACAGGAAGAAGTATCAGCCATAATCTGACCATTATATCATAGTATTTTTCCCAATACTGGCTGTAGATTTCTTTAATTTGTGCACAAGAGCTGAAACTCATTTTAACACAATTCCTCCCCAAACCTCTAGAGAGGAAGAACCAGATCTTTTCCAGTAACACTTTCAAGTTTATTTTTTCAGGAACCCAAAATGTAATTCTTGGTGAGGAGAGCTCATGCGACATTTTTATAAGATGTTAACTTTGGGATAGATGTTAGTTAGAATTTCTCAGTCAGTATCATTGTGCCACCTCACTCTGTGCAGAGAAATTACATTTCATGTGGTGCATACATGACTTCATCTCTAAAAATTCCAGTTAGTTTTCTGACCCTGCAAGAGGGATCTTTAAAAAAAAAGAAAACAGTTCAAGCAACTTTTAGCTTGAGTACATGTGATCTCAACCTAAAAACACCTTATTTCAAAACTGATTTTGTGTCTGAACATTTAACAAAAAAGAGGGAAAAACCAAACGCAGGCCGCTCATTTTTGCAAGCTGTAGAAGCCGCAGCCCAAGTTGTGGAATCTGTTTCTCAAAAATTGAGGAAGTCGTCACTGGCTTTTCTTCCCACTTGCCTTACGCGTTAAAGCAATCAACAACTCTTCGCAAACTTTTAAGAAATGCATACACCCATTGACTTCGGCTAAACAAAGATAAGTTGGGGAGGACGAGAAAAACGTAGCCACATGAGTGGGCTGAGAGATAAGAAAAGCAAACTGCAGAAAAAAAGCGAGCTAAGTAAGCAGGGCAGAAACCGGGGAGGCGGGAGGGGGCGGGGTGACTTAGCCTGTAAACGGTATTTTGCAAAAAGCCTGAAAGCCAGAACCTCCCTCCCAGCCCTACCTTCCCGTCGCCCATCACGCACGGCTCGAGTTCCCTTGCCAGCAAGCCGAGACCGTAAAAGCGTGAAGCCAGCCGCGCACCAAACTTGCGGGAAATTCGTGGCAACAGCCATCTTTCTCCACCCCGAACAAAACGTGGTGTGCAGCCGAGTAAGTAATAATCCCAGCAAACTTTTCCAAAGCAGGACACACAGCGACCCCCACACATCCCAGAACACGAGCGCAAAATGGGCTGCAAAGGGCTTTGTTGCATTCCATCACATGGGGAGGAAAACGGGGGGGGGGGGAGGAGGAGGGGGGGCGGCCGAGAGGAAACACGCCTTAGTCCCAAGTACCGAATTTAGGATGAAGGAGACGTTTCCACCAAAATCGGCTGATTCGCACACGGTTTTAACAATGCAATGGTGTGGTTTTTCTAAAAAAAAAAAACGGGGAAACTTTTCCGAACTTTTCGGATGAATGGAGCAACCATTCTAAACTCGTTTCCCCCCCAAAAGGGCGAAGTTATTGAAAACTGAAAAATCCTAGGAGACATCCCGTTTTTTAAAATCTCGAAATAATTCAAGGGAGAGTCGAGCAAAACAAGAAGCAGAACAACCCAAAGTCAAATGTAAAAACACTTCCCCACCCACTCACCCACCAAGAGACTTAGCGCTCCAACAATTCAACTAAGATTTGGGGCTCTCATTAGACAACTTTCCCAAGTAATTTCTCAGCTCTCAGAGCGGTTATTAAGGCCAAAAAATACAGCTTATTCTGTTTGTTTTAACGTCCTCGCCAACTTTAAAAAAAAAACAAAAACTGTTGGATTTGGAGGAAAAAAAAGGCAAGAGGGCATTAGATGTAGAACGAGAGAAACCCTGTTTATTCTCCCGAAGCAATCGGAACAAAAGCTTTATTTAGAAAAAAAAAAGTTTTAGAAGATAATGCGGGAGGTTAACTTACTTTGCATAAAACTTCACTCAAGTCGAAGATTGTTGGCGACACGAGGGCTGTAGACATCTTCAACTACCGTAGTAAAAAGAGGAATGAAAAAAAAAATTGGAGTAAAACTCTTTTTAAACAGAAAAACAAAATGATTCAGTGTTGTAAAGGCACAGCCTCCAGTTTCCCTGGGACGGACTCCCTTTTGCCCCCCTCCAGCTCCAACAATTCCCCTTTCTCGTTCCTTCCAGAAGAACTTAACCAAAAAGCTCGATTTATAAAGTTTCAGCTCTTACGCCGTGGGAGGAGTTCCAACTTCATTTAAATGAGGGAGGAGGAGGAGGAGGACGGAGCTCGACGACGGAGGGGATCACCCAGTGGGGTCGAACCTACCGAAAGCCCTTCGGGAAGACGGGGGTGGGGGGTGGAAAGAAAGGGGAGGGCCTCGAAGCTCTTGTTTTTAATTTGGGACGGGGGGGGGGGGTGAAGTTTTGAAGAGAGTATAGTGTTTGTACAAGTTACCTCTAATTAGGCGGCGAAGGAAGGGCTAGTTAAGCCTCTTTTGTCAGGACTTGAATGTAACATGTGACGCTATTCGCTGCACCCGATGCGGCGGCTCCCCCTCCTCCTCTACTTAAGGCGGGATCAATTGTTTCCTTGAGAAGTTTTACACGGTTCCTTTGGGCTTGTGTGAGCGGGAGTTCAGGCAAAGTTTGGGCTCTTTCCCCAGTTTCCCCCGCCGCTGAGAGGATTTGCTTTTTTGTGTGTGACTGCGGGATCCATATAATGCAGTCACCTCGACGGCGGCGGGGGTGCTGGACGCCCCATCTTTTAATGGGAGCCAAGGCTAGCTGAATCCCACGGGACTTGCTTCCGAGTAAGCAAAACGGGCAATGGGTGCCGGTTGCGCGCTCCGTTTCTAAGCGCGTTTACTCTGAAGTAGGTTGTGGTCAAAGCAAGGATAGAGGGCTTCATAAATCTCGATAGGGTCGGACCCTAAAAATAAGGAACTCGCATGACCATGGTATGAAGAAGCAATTAGATGTAGAGGTTTTCCCCCTTGCTTTTTAAAAATTCATACTCTAAGTTAATCCTGGTTTGTCTGGACCCAGAAATGTGTTGTAATGTTGAAAAATAAAATACTGCAGTCAAGTTTGGGAGGAAAGATTTCGAGAAAAGTCCACGAATCATTTGGTCTAAACTGCCGCTGGAAAATGACTTGTGGAGTTTTTGTGTCTTCCTTCCCCCTCCCCTGCAGTTTTTACAGAGATTCTTCTTCTATTGCCACATTGCTAACGTGCGTTTCTGCAAAGGGCGCTTACTTTTTTTTTTAAAGTGCTTTCGTGTTTATTTGAATAGCAGACTTCCCAGTGGTTGCATTTTTATCTCTGGCCTCCCCTCCACTTTTTTTTTAAATGGAGTATTATGTCGGATAAAGTTTCCTGACCGAGTCGAATTTTGTTCCTTAACTTTTGGCGCGATTCGAGTTGGGGAAGGGACACATGCATCGGAACGTGACTGACACCGCGATTTGCATCTGGGAGGGGAAAGACGTCGACTTGCATTCGTTCCCCCGTAGCCTTTTAAGTTGTGGAAGAAAGGGCTGGGTGGTGGACCGAAGTGGAGCTGGTAATATTTCCTTCCTCTTTCCATGTGACCTCGCAACTGAAGCCTCACCTCCAGAGACGATTGCGGCACAACACTTCAGAGCTCTCGGCCTGTTAGGAAACGCGGCGCCCGTGAGTGCAGTTTCCATCGCTGCGTAATGAGGCCACTTGCTAGCCGCATTTTCGCGCTCGCTCTAGAGCGCACCATTTTGGTTTCCTCTCTCCGCCCCCTCTCCCGAGTATGTCTGAAGCATGTATACATACTGCACGTTATATCTCCGTTTTCCATCGCCCAAAAGCTTCCCGCCTTAGGCCGGCTCGCATCTCCGCTTTGATTTTAATTCGACTGCCTCGATACATATTCAGGCGTTGCCTTTTTTTTTCCTTCCCTCCCAGCGTTCCCCTTTTCTGTCTCGTTGCAAACGTAAAAGTGCAGAAGTTTAAAAAAAAAATCCCATTTCAGTGTCTCAAAACACGGGTTATTTCTTAACTGGTTAATTAAAGAGGATATCGGCCTTTTGAATTTCATTATCTCCCCCCCCCCCTTTCCATTTGGCAAGAACATGATTTAACTTTTAGGTGATGGTGTTATGTTGGAGAATTATTTACACTATTCAACAGGTGCATGAGAACCTGGACACTAACACTATGCTGAGGAAACCCTTCAAATGAAGTTTTACAGAAAACGAGAAAGAAACTGGGAAGTGATTGCTCCCTTTTGGAATGTACTGCTGCCTAACTGGAGAGCTGATGCCAGACTTATTTTGGTGACAATGGAAAGTGAGCAGAACCAGCAATGATGAAATCGGATGGGATATGACAGGGTTAACTACTGGTTCGGGATTTATGAGCTTTCCTGCACACTAGGAGCCACCCGCCTGTAAATCGTCATCAGCATGCTGTGTGCAGAGACGCAGCCTTTGAAACAGCCCTCTTTTCCTGCTTTTTTAACTACAGCTGTGCCTTGTTGAGCAGCTGAAGCTGAAAAATCGGTTCTACAGAGGTGGACAGAACCGGTAGAAACCCACCCCTGGCCGAAATGTTTTGCTTTACAGCATTGGTAAAGAAAAAAGTATATTTTCTAGAACAAAAAGTTGATTGAAAAGTTAAACCCTTGTATCCCAACCCTTGAAATATAGATTGTGCCTGAACTGTAAAAATCCAGATATGAACTAGCTGTGAAGAAATACAGTAAATAGGGCCATCCTAAGTTTTACAGTCCAGATGCAATATTTCTGTTTGAAAACCTTAACTGAAAAACAGAAGCTTGCTCAGAAATACTTCCTCAGAATGTAGTGGCTCTTGCTTCTGTGTAAGAATGTTCTTCTGTCCTGATATTTAAAATGTGACAAACTTTCAAGAAGGCATGAATGTCATTATGAAGACAGAAATGTCATCAAGCACACCTTCCTGCTTCCTCCCTATTTGTTTCAGTCTGGCAACAAATGAATACTTCTGCAAGCCCCTTCCTCAGCTGCTTATTACTTTGTGGCCCCCCACAGGAGCTCTTAAATAGTGTTCATAGCTTGACAGCATTCATGCAGAAGTAAGCACTATTGGTATCTACGTGATAATACCCAGCAGTGTAAATGTTGTCACAAAAGGGTTGGTACTGTGGCTGTACAATAACAACAGCTGTATAGCTATCTCAATTGTAGAACAAATTGTGACTTGGATAGAGCAAGCATGACTTTGGCATAGGAGCAATAGACCTGGGCATAAAGCTTGCAGTTTGTACAAATATCAATAGGCTTGACTACATTAGTAGGTTTCATCATTCGTTAGCCCAGGAGAATAGTTATTCGCAAGGCTAAGCTGGCTCCAGAGATACCTGAATGGGTTCAGAAAGAAGACTTCTAATTTCTGTTATTTGGGATTGATTTGAATGGTTTCTAAGAAATCTTGAGAAAATATTTCAGTAGTGGAGGTGATTTCTTTTAAAATTTCTGCTTGGATTATATCTTTAAAAACTGATTTGCTAATTTATCACAATCCATGTTCTAAGTCTTACCCTTTTGTAGTAATTTAACTCTCTGTAAAAATTATTATGATTTCTTTAGGATATGGAGTGTGTGTGCGCCCCTTCAGATCAGTTTTTGACTCTTGACAAATGCCTGGACTAGGGCCTACACTTTTCTTGGCAAGATTTCAGAAGTTGTTTACCATTTATTATATTAAATTTATCTTAACCATGAGGTGGTTTACAATGTTAAAACATTGCTTCCTGTCTAGGACAGAGAGTGTGACTTGCTCAAGATTACCCAGCTAGCTTTCTGTATAAGGCTGGACTGGAGCTCATGGTCTCCCGGTTTCTAACCTGATGCCTTAACCACTGCCATACACCAAACTGGCTCTCCATAGGGTACGGCTCCTAAATATTTGATGAAGAGCTGGAATCCGTTGGAATCTCCATATTATGAAGCTTATGTCACAAAAATAAGCATTTCCAATGACCTTAACTTCCTAACTTCAAAAAACCCATTTAAACTTTAATTGTTTGTGCAAAATGCTACAGTTAACAATGGAACAAGCTTCCTTAGAAGAGAGTCCAGGAGTTACAATATGCCATGCTAAACAAGAAATATTCCTAAACTAAATAATTTTTTTTTGCAATACCCA